ATATGTGAAAGTGTAACCAATCAACGACAGCGTAAACGCCTTCTGAGCCAATCAGAGTCGTTTATCTCTTGCATTCAAATGGCTTTCCACATTTGGCTGCTTTTTAGCGGCGCCTTCTCCAAATATTTCTTTAGAAAATGGCGGGGACGAAGGAAAGCTATAACAGGTTTGTGTCAAAAGCCCTCATTCGCTCGTACCTCGCTCGTTCGGGTTTTGACACAAACAGCTCGTGAATATAACTCCGTACGCCGCACTTTCTATGACGTAAACTATATCAACTGACTTAACTACAGCGGGTACTTATACCCATACTGGGTATTACCTCAAATGTCACACCCTCGATCCTTACCTAGTTAAGATCATCTCGCCACCGACGAGAAGTCGACGTTCGAAGTAATATTGCAGTCGGTACCATTTCTATTAAATTATTTTTTTCTCTCTCCCCAGTTTTAGCGAGAAGAAGGAAGTCTCACCAAGTCGAATTCCAGCCAAACGAAAAACAACATTAGGAACGAAAAGCAAAAAGAAAGGAGGGAGGGGGAAAATTCTGAAAATTGATCTCAGGCCAGGTTGTTTTTTGCCCCGTTGTTAGAATAGAACCTGCGCATCCCCAAAACCAAAAGCTGTATTGTAACATCAGAGACGAAAGCGACTTCGTTGTCGAGTCTCGTCGCTTACTTAGTACTCTGGGTATTGTTGGTCGCCTCAAAAAACCATGTTTTACGAAACGTCAAGCAGTCAGTGGGTAAAATTCTTATATTTTAATAGAAAGTGAAGATGAGACTCCTCCCAAGGTGAATCTTGATGATGACTTCTTTATTGACACAAGTCCAAGCACAGGTAACAAAAATAATGACTAGTTATATTGTGGAGACTGAATCAGGTCGCAATTCAAGTCGCTCACCCAGCGACGGGGTGCGGTGAGAGGCACGGCTGTATTCGCAGGCTATGTGCAACCGGTTTTATTCGAAACTTCACGCTAAAAGATTTCATCCACAAGTTAGAACTGGATACTAAATAAATAAATAAATAAATGGTCCCCTGTGTGATGAGGTTTCATATGACTGGTCACACTATAGGATTTCATCCACAGACTCAAAAGTTAAAACTACACACAAACTAAATAGTACAATGTGAAAGCACTGCTGAAGAGGTTTCATTTGAATGGTCACACCACAGAATTTCACCCGCACACTCGGAAGGTACATTAGCCTGTCCACCTACGTTTCTTCTTTTTTCGTGGACGAATTTTTGCGAGTGCCGAGAACATCAGAAGGAGCGCTAGCGCTTAATAAATCCCCCGCGGTTTTCATTTTCATACGCGCGCTCGACTAGATCTCTAGAAAAATAGAGGGTCTCTGAACAGGCTTAAAGGAGACCGACATACTAAATAAATAGTACCACGTTAAAGTACTGCTGGAGAGTTTTCATTTGAATGGTCACACCCTAGGATTTCATTCAAAGCCTGAAAGCCTGAATTTAATTCGTGGAGAGAAAATGTTAAAATATAATGTCAGGTTTATTTTCCTTTATCTTCTTATTTAAACGACAACGAGAAATTGTGTTCGGGGCTTTAAGTGTTAACTTGCTCTGTTCTTTTTTTATCAGAGCCCCCAACGTTCGAGGAAGAACCCAGAAAAAAGAAAAAGAAAACTAACAAGACACGCAAACGATCGCAGTTTAAATTTGAGAAAAAGTAGGCTAAATTGGACTTGTGAAGCATTATTAACAAAATTGTATGTTTATATATGTAAATATGTGTACAAACCGTCTGTTAAGTAATTAAAGAAGATATTTATTTGCATAGATCTTGTGTGTGTTAATTTTATTTTTGTCTTTGCAGAAAGGCAAATAAACAAACAACAACAAAAATTGATATTATCTACAAATGGAGGTTTCTAAAAATGAAAAAAATAAGCAATTGTTTAACGTCTGCTGCGAAGAGGCCTACACGCCGGATGTTTTGAAAATAAGTTTTTTTTTTTCATTCTTATTGTTTTTCTCACTCGATTTCCTATCGAAGTTTACGTCTACCTTTCTGTACTCAGAGTCACAACACAGAATGGCCTAAATCCACTACGTTACAACATATATCGCTTCGCAAGCGTCGTTTAAGGGAGTTTAAACAACGACGACGGCGACGGCTACGAAAACGTCACTTAAAAAGTGAATTTGCGCTGCTTCAAACTTTACCGCGCTTATTCCATCTCGTTTAATTCGTCAAATCTTGGCAAATTTTTTGGGGGTTGAATTCTAAAGGACTGCATCAAAGTTCAGGAAAAGAAAAAGAAAGTTGTTGTCTTTTGTTTCCGTCCTCGACGAAACGTGAAATTAGGCAGTTTCACGTTGTAGTCGTGCAACGACGGCAGAGAAATGTACAAAAAGCGTGATGCACGTGCAAAGTTGTTGTTTTGCTTGTCTAAACCTATTTCTTTTTTGCCGTTCTCGTTGCCGTCGCCGTCGTCGTTGCCTAAACTCCCTTTTAATTCCCAGTGGCGGGCGGGCACAATCGCTGAAAGTGAACGAAAAGTTTACCCGGTACGGTTTTCGAGACGGGACAAAAGCCGTCCAGTACGGCGTGAAGGTCACAGCCTTCAATAAAAAACTTACTGCATTTTTTTTTTTTCGTTTCACCCATATTAGATTTTGAGACTGAAATAAGTTTTTACTATCATAGTTTGCCATTACTTATGTATAAACAGAATTAGAATTTATTTAATTAACGTGGCGTTTAACGAAGAGTGACGGCGATTAACAAGCAGTGTTGGTGTCTGTTTTGTTTGCCAAGCACTTAATACATATATGTCGGCCATCACAATTTACAGAGCAGTTGAGAGGATTTGAAGTTTCACCTTTATTGTATTTAATCTTGCCTTCGGTTTTGGCTTAAGAAAACAACCTTTCGCACTAAACCGCGGAATTTTTTTCCTAGTTATTGTTTTCTTCCTCATTACTCTAGATTATTATTACAATTAATATTATTATTAGAATTAGTATTGGCGTTAGTGTTTTGATCGTAACTTAAAAAACAAACAAACGACTCAGTTTCATTTAAAATAACCTGGGTCGACAAAATGGGCACCAAACAATTAACTAAAGACAATTCCCGCGAGAAATTCCTAAGAATGGAAAAAGCCACAATCCGTGCCTCTGAATGAGTTACAACACGTTGGGTTTTGTCTTTTGGTTCAAAGCCTTGGATACCTTTGATGTTCTCAATTGTTCTCCATCAAAAGGAAATATGGACTTTCAGTTTTTAATTACGCTCTTGGAAATATTATCGGTTCTTTCCAGTTTCCATAACAATAAGCCATTTATTTAGCTGAATGTCGCACTTGATTAGAGTTCAGGCAGGTGGCTGCGTCTGCTTGCCATGCGTATGAATTTAAAAAAATGAATTTATTCTAATGTCGTTTTTATAGTAGTTAAGTAGCCACGCCACAAGCTTCAGTTCAAGCGCTTCTAATCAAAAGATAACTCTACGATCTTAGCTTTCAAAGAGCAGTTTGGTTTACCCGTCGAAGCCTTTTAATGGCGGAAGGAAGGAGAGACGAGTCCGTCGCGCCGGGAACCGTCCAGGTTGTTGTTGAATTGATTGTTTTTATCTTCATTACGCTAGCAACACTTACAGGGAATTCTTTGGTTGTTATTTCGGTGATCAAATTCCGCCATCTTCGGACGAACACGAATTTCATCTTGCTAAGCTTGGCGTTGACCGACTTGAGTATGGTGCTTATAATGGTGTTGAATGCAGTTACAACCGTCACAGGAGAGTGGATTTTTGGAGAGTGGTGTTGCAAAGCGGTCGCTTCTATTGGTCTAACGCTCTCCTTTATTTCAATTCTTCACTTATGTTTCCTGAGCGTGGATCGCTACATCGCTATTCACAAACCACTTCGTTATCAATTCATTGTCACCAGAAGAAGAGTGATCACGTTTCTGTCACTGATTTGGATGTCCGCTGCCGTTATTGTAAACATCCCACTGGCGAATTTTGAATTCAGAGCGGATACCTATGGATGCGCTGATCGCAAGTCCATTAGGACCAACAAGCCATCATCGCCGTATATTTTCTTTCTCGTCGCATTGTTTGTCATCATCCCCTTCGCGATTATTTTCCTTTCAAACGCCCTCGTATTTAAAACAGCTTTCAAGCAAGCGAGGCAGTTGAGCCGAGTTGAAAAAAGCCTGAGAGAATCCTCCGCCGATATTTGCGATCAAGATGACACACACCCAGTAAAGACAACAGAACCACACTCGCTTAAAAGAGAGATCAAATCTGCGCGAACTTTTGCCCTTGTTGTTGGTATATTTTTATTTTGTTATACACCTTTCTATACTGCGGGTACTTACAGAAAGATTGCTGGACCTGTTAAAGTGCCCTCGATTGTTATGTTGGTAACGATGTGGATTGCTTTTGCCAATTCGTTTTGTAACCCGATTGTTTATGGCTTGAGGTATGCGCCTTTTCGTAAATCCTTTAAACATTTATGTTCTTGTTGTGGTAAACGCGGATTCGTTGAGCGACGGAATTACAGTTGCACCAATTCTAATTCTTCTTGGCGACGCGAAAGACAAGAAACAGTTCTGTCGCGTAACTCAGCAGTGTAGTAAATACATTTAGCTCCTTAAAACAGACTTCCTTGAAAAGAAAAAAAATATTAAGAAAGTTTTTTTTTGCCAAGTATGGAAAGAGGTCACCGCGGGAATACAAACATCAAATAGCTTTTATTTGAGAAAACACTGGTTATTTCACCGAACTAGAAAAAGGCTGTAAAGTCTGCGATTCCAATTTGTTGCTATGACTTGGCTATTTTAAAAATAAAATTAGCTTGTCACTTAAACTGTAAATTTAGTGTGCTAGACGAAGTGAACATGCATCGGCCCTACAAATTTATGCATGCATACTTAAAATAAAAGAAACACTCGGAAGAGCTCAACTCGTTTTTTGTATTAAAAACAGTAGAAAGCAATTGTAACATTGCTGAAAAGACCGATGATTGCAAGTCGAAATAAAGAAATTTTCTGTTGCTTTTGTAATGAAGTGAATACCATCGTGTGGTGATTTTTATCGTCTCAGGGGATGCCTAATGGAATTTTTAATAAGGCCGCACTTATCTCCTGTGGAGAAAGTTGCCCTCGCTTAGCTTCTACTTTTTGTTTTGTTAATCATATTTAAGAAATTTTTACAGAGTAGTTTTAAAGTTAGTATTATATTTTAAAAAAAAAAAAAGATTCAAAAAGAAAATTTCTACGGACCAAAAAACCCAAGCCAAATTGGGTGTGTTTATCTTAAAACAAGGAAATGGTGCTTTTAGAATTATTTTTAATTTTTAGCCTGAAGCAAACTTTGACAAATAAATTTTCTTTTTTCGCAGGAACCATCCTCCCGTGTGGTCTTTTCGGAATTGTTTATTTTATGTAAAAATGGATGTAAAGATGAGATTTCTCTTATGACAAAAACAATTTTTTTAGGGAAAAAATTACGGAGGGAAAGGAAGAGCACTAAATGCGATGTTATCATTGAGTGATAAACAGAAACTCGCTAGCCAGCCAAAACAACAGTTCTGCCATTATGGAAATCAAACCCTGAAAAAAATTTTCCCTCATAATAATTTGAAAGGGAAATAAAAGAAAAACATTAGGGTTTCCATAACTGCAAAATAAACTAATGTTGAATGTTGAGTTAAATTTAATGAGTCAGCTGCTTCGATTTCCCTTTCGGCCTGTTCGGCTCCTGTTGATACTGGTCAATTTATGATATTAGAATTAATTTTGAGACGTTTATTTTGTTGCAACAATTTATGCCAGGTGCCCAGATGGTTTTTGACGCTTTTAAAATACTCTACTCATTATGTCTCTTTCAGTCTGCTGTTGCGTGCATTATGCTACATTCTACTTTTACTACTCACTGAACGAAAAAATTGATTTACACCAAATTCAAGTTTACGTTATATAATATCATGCGTACTTTGGCCAGTGTTTATCTCCGGGGATGGACTCCCTAAACAAAGAGGAGAGGATGCTCTTGGTCTCGTCTTAAACTCTAAAGTTGGTCGCTCTGAGCGGGTATTAACGACCCAACCTGTACCAATATTTTGATAGAATGGTCAAATAAAGCCATCCTCCCAACCAAAATCACCCTTCACCCTCCCCGCTACGACTCTCCAGGCTTCTCATATGAACTTGATTGATAAATCTAGCTCGATACCCGAGATCTCACCTGGGTGCCAGAGACTTTTCACGCGCGGTTTCTTATGACCGCTCGTGGCTTCGGAATAGAGAAAAAACCTCTTGTACCCAGGGTACCGTTATTTTTCTCGTACAGAAATTTTGATTTTTTTTTACTAGGAAGTTGGGCGGTCAACATGGCCCGACTTACCCGGACGATAAACATCGGGGGAGACGGGGACGGGGGCGGGGGGGGGGGGAAAAACAATAAGGGGACAAGACCCAGCCGTTTTACAACAGGAAGACAAACTTAAGTGAAAATAGCAACGGTGAATAAACACTGGGACAATTAACAAAAGAGGATTATCAACCAAAAAGGTGGCAACCCATACAATACCAACCCTTACAAAAGAGGCTTATACAAC